CTTAAAAAGCTAACTTTATTTTTTTTAAAAAAAACTCTTATATAATAAAAATATCTATTGTTTTAAAATTGTTTTTTAAAAATTTAGTAAAATTTTAATAAAATGCTGTATATACTATATATATAATTTGACACTAATTTAACCTCTTATTTTTGTAAAAAAAAAAAATAATTTATATACGTAACACTATATTGCTATAATATATACGATAAAAATATTTTTAGATAAGCATTTATATTTTATTTTAAATTATTAAATTTTTATATTAGATACGTATTGCATTTTAAAATTTTTTCTGAAAACAATTTACGCAAAATCCCTACGTTCTTGTGCAAAAGTCGCCAAACCACGTGACTTAAGTTAAATGAATAGAAAGAGAAGTGACATATATAACGTATTATTATACGTAGAAGGGGAGAGAAGGAAATACCCTACCTCTCACCTATTAAACGACATGAACTAAAATTGACCAATCATGACTTTCCGTAGATTTAACCCTAATGACGTAATATATGTTACTCCCTTAATATATCAATCACGTGACGCATGCATGTTGGATGACTTGACGTGTATTATAGATTAGTACCATGATCGTGTGATTCTAAACACGTGGATGGGTCGATCTTCTGAAATTTTATATTATAGATATCCCAACGATTTAAATGCCAAAACCAGATGTGCAAGTAATGAACAATAAAGCGACTCGCACAAGAAAAAAAACATGCATACAAATATGAGGACGTAAAAGCTAGTTCCCTTATAACCTTCTCCAAGAACCCCTTAATAAGGACGATATCTAGAATTATCCCTACGTTCTTGCCGGTCGTCCTGTTTACTTTGCCTTCCATATCCTTGATCATAACCATACCCATTATCATTGTTACGATAACCGCCACCTCCATAGCCTCTATCATCATCTCCATATCTACCACCATATGAAGAACCACCACCACGACGACCCCTATACCCACCTCTTTGTGATCCAGAATATCGACCGCCATAGCTGCCACTATCTCCAGGTGCACCAGCACGGGGTGAATGACATTTATAACACTCCATTCTTCTAGCGAAATTATTAGCGTTACAACTGGATTGAAGTAAAATATAAATTAGTTGTTATACAATAACATATGCAGAAGATATAATAATGATAGAAAACGTAAAACTTTTGAACATACGAGCTGCACACCCAATCACCTTCTCGTGGAGGTGGACCTCCACGACCACCACCTCTGCCACCTGAAAATCCACCGCGTCCTCTACCTCTACTACGACCTCTAAAACCACCACCTGTGGAGGCAATTTTACGTACAGACATTTCGACTTTTATAACCTTAATCACATCATATAAAATTTTAATCAACGTCCGTAAATTTATAATTATACATTTAAATCGAATAATTTATACCTGACCAAGGAATGGCTGATTATCAAAATATTTTATTGCTGCCGCAGTCGAGTCCGGATCTTCATACGTCAAAGTGGCTAATTTTCGTTGTATAAAATTTAATCAATTTATATAATTATCAAAAACACAACATATTTAGGTTCATAATCACTTGCTTACCATCCCCTTTAGGAAGACCAGATGCTTTGTCGTAATAAATCCATACTATTATGGATAAAGCGAATAATTAAATATGCTTTTTAAGACAACAACTTAAATTTGAAAAACAAAAAGTTTTTTTTTTTTTTTTGTATAGCTTACTC